AATACAATACAAAAAAAAAAAAAAAAAAAAAAAAAAAATCCTGGACTTGACCATTTCTTTTCTACTAATGACATATGGCGATCCTGTTGTAGGAAGCCTTGTCCTTTCTATAGGGTCTCACCAGTAATCACTTGCCTGGATTTTGGATTCATTGTTCTTATGTACAAAGCTGTATCTCTTCTGTTCTTTCTTAATTAAAAAAAAAAATTATAATTTTAATGTAAAATATATAAATGAAAAGATAAATGGCTCTCAAAAAAAAATGACCCTACGTGTCTAAGGTTGGTCTGTCAGAAAATTGAGGCAAATCAATAAATACAATAAAAAAAATGTCAAGAGAACCAATTAACCTTGGATTTGATTTATAACATTAAATAAACAAATAGTTCTTAAAAAAAAAATTGAACCTACGTGTCCAAGGTGGTCTATCAGAAAGTAGCAGAAAATCAATTAAATACAATAAAAAAAAAATGAATAAATGAATGGGTTTTGAATTCAATGTACTTATGTACACATTTGTATCTCTTTTGTTCTTTCTTAATGAATATAAATAAAATATTTATATTGTAAAATAAATAAATGGTTCTTAAAAAAAATTGAACCTTTTGTGTCTAAGGCGGTCTATCAGAAAGTTGCAGAAAATCAATTAAATACAATAAAAAAAAATGAATAAAATAATGGATTTTGAATCCATTGTACTTATGTACAAAGCTGTATCTCTTCTGTTCTTTATTAATGAAAAGAAATATTTATAACATAAAATAAATAAATAAAATCTTAAAAAATGAACCTACTGTACATGTCTAAGGTGGTCTATCAGAAAGTTGAGGAAAATCGTTAAACACAATAAAAAAAAAAAAAAATACAAGAGAAATAATGAATCCTGGACTTGACCATTTCTTTTCTACAAATGACAAACTTTGATCCGGTTGTAAGATGCCGGGTCCATTCTATAGGGTCTCACTAATAAATAGGTGACGTACCTGGATCCATTGTACTTATGTACAAATTTGTATATCTTCTGTTCTTTCTTAATAAAAAAATAAAATATTTTATATTGTAAAATTAATAAACGGTTCTTTTAAAAAAAATCGAACCTTTGTGTCTAAGGCGGTCTATAAGAAAGTTGTAGAAAAAATCAATTAAATACAATATTTAAAAAAAATAATAAATGAATGGATTTTGAATCCATTGTACTTATGTACAAAGCTGTATCTCTTTTGTTCTTTATTGATGAAAAAAAAATATTTTATAAACATAAAATAAATAAATAAATCAAATGTTCTTAAACAAGGAACCAGCTGTACGTGTCTACGGAGGTCTATCAGAAAGTTGAGGCAAATCATTAAATACAATAAAAAAATACAAGGGAACTCATGAATCCTTATTTATATATTTATTTATAACATAAAATAAATAAATAAATTGTTCTGTTTTTAAAAAAAAAACGAACCTTTGTTTCTAAGGTGGTCTATCAGAAAGATGAAGAAAATCATTAAATACAATTGAAAAAAAAAAATATTCCTGGACTTGACCATTTCTTTTCTACTAATGACATAGGTCGATCCTATTGTAAGATGCCTTGTCCTTTCTATAGGGCCTCACCAGTAACTATAACTAGGTGCCTTGCCTGCATTTGTATCCAATGATCTTATGTACAAAGCTGTATCTCTTCTTCATTAATAAAGAAAAAAAATATTTATAATCTAAAACTAGAATAGAAAATGAAATGAAAGGTTCTCAATTCTTTCTTTAATTTTATTAATAGGCCATTATAATAACAAAGCAAATTTTCCCCCAATTGTTACCATTTATAAAGTTTCTATTTTGAGTAATATCATATAAATTAGATTTTTTTTTATTTTCTAGCAAATTGATGGTTTGTACCAATAGTGAAATTAGAGAAATATCTATTTGCCGTCAAAAGGATTATTTAAGGAAAAAGATGTAAAAAAAAACCAAACTAGGTGCCTTGTCTGGATTTGTATCCAATGATCCTATGTACAAAGCTGTATCTCTTCTTTATTAATAAAAAAAAAAAAAATTTATAATCTAAAACTAGAATAGAAAACAAAATAAAATCTTCTCAATTCTTTCCTTAATTTCAGCAATAAGCCATTATAATGACCAAGCAAATTTTCCCTTAATTTTAACTATTTGTAAAGTTTCTATTTTGAGTAATATCGTATAAATTAGATGTTTTTATTTATTTTTTAGCAAATTGATGGTTTGTACCAATAGTGAAATTAGAGAAATATCTATTTGCCGTCAAAAGGATTATTTAAGGAAAAAGATGTAAAAAAACCAAACTAGGTGCCTTGTCTGGATTTGTAACCAATGATCTTATGTACAAAGCTGTATCTCTTCTTCATTAATGAAAAAAAAAAAAAATTATTATCTAAAACTAGAATAGAAAACGAAATAAAAGCTTCTCAATTCTTTCCTTAATTTCAGCAATAAGCCATTTTAATGACCAAGCACATTTTCACGAAAATGTAACCATTTGTAAAGTTTCTATTTTGAGTAATATCATGTAAATTAGATTTTTTTTTTAGAAAATTGTTAGTTTGTACCAATAGTGAAATTAGAGAAATATCTATTTGCCGTCAAAAGGATTATTTAAAGAAAAAGATGTAAAAAAAAAAACAAACTAGGTGCCTTGTCTGGATTTGTAACCAATGATCCTATGTACAAAGCCGTATCTCTTCTTTATTAATGAAGAAAAAAAATATTTATAATCTAACACTAGAATAGAAAATTAAATAAAAGGTTCTCAATTCTTTCTTTAATTTTATTAATAGGCCATTATAATGACCAAGCAAGTTTTCCCTCAATTTTTACCAATTACAAAAGTTTCTATTTTGAGTAATATCATATAAATTAGATTTTTTAAATTTTTTTTTAGAAAATTGTTGGTTTGTACCAATAGTGAAATTAGAGAAATATCTATTTGCCGTCAAAAGGGTTATTTAAGGAAAAAGATGTAAAAAAAAAACAAACTAGGTGACTTGTCTGGATTTGTATCCAATGATCCTATGTACAAAGCCGTATCTCTTCTTTATTAATAAAAAAAAATTTTTTATAATCTAACATTAGAATAGAAAATGAAATAAAAGGTTCTCAATTCTTTCCTTAATTTCAGCAATAAGCCATTTTAATGACCAAGCACATTTTCCCGAAATTTTAACCATTTGTAAAGTTTCTATTTTGAGTAATATCATATAAATCGGATTTTTAAATTAATTTTTTAGCAAATTGATGGTTTGTACCAATAGTGAAATTAGAGAAATATCTATTTGCCGTCAAAAGGATTATTTAAGGAAAAAGATGTAAAAAAAACCAAACTAGGTGCCTTGTCTGGATTTGTATCCAATGATCCTATGTACAAAGCTGTATCTCTTCTTCATTAATGAAGAAAAAAAATATTTATAATCTAACACTAGAATAGAAAATGAAATAAAAGGTTCTCAATTCTTTCTTTAATTTTATTAATAGGCCATTATAATGACCAAGCAATTTTTCCCTCAATTTTTCCCGTTTCCAAAAGTTTATATTTTGAGTAATATCATATAAATTAGATTTTTTTTACCAAATTGTTGGTTTGTACCAATAGTGAAATTAGAGAAATATCTATTTGCTGTCAAAAGGATTATTTAAGGAAAAAGATGTAAAAAAAAAAAAAATTTTCCCTCAATTTTAACCATTTGTAAAGTTTCTATTTTGAGTAATATCATATAAATCGGATTTTTAAATTTATTTTTTAGCAAATTGATGGTTTGTACCAATAGTGAAATTAGAGAAATATCTATTTTCCGTCAAAAGGATTATTTAAGGAAAAAGATGTAAAAAAAACAAACTAGGTGCCTTGTCTGGATTTGTATCCAATGATCCTATGTACAAAGCCGTATCTCTTCTTCATTAATGAAGAAAAAAAATATTTATAATCTAACACTAGCATAGAAAATTAAATAAAAGGTTCTCAATTCTTTCTTTAATTGTATTAATAGGCCATTATAATGACCAATCAGTTTTTCCCTCTATTTTTACCATTTATAAAAGTTTCTATTTTGAGTAATATCATATAAATTAGATTTTTTTTTTAATTTTTTTTTTTAAAAATTGTGTTGGTTTGTACCAATAGTGAAATTAGAGAAATATCTATTTGCCGTCAAAAAGATTATTTAAGGAAAAAGATGCAAAAAAAAAAAAAAATGATTACGGTATCGGCACGCTTACTTTTCCAAAACAAGTGCCGTCAAAATTGAATGACTCAATGTTTGCTCAGAAGTCTGTTCTATTTATATCACGGCTATTTTTAGATATATTAAACACATGTAGCGAACATTATTTTAAAATATGCCTCAAGCTTACGTGACTTACATAACGCGGTAAACCTGTAAAAAATACAGAAATAACTTTCCATCCCCAGTGCTTGCTGCCAATGGTGCGGATATACCAAAGGAGTAGTAGCATGTGCTCTTTGTGAAAGTGAATTCTCACTTGGGGAGGCAAGAGGAAGCGAAAATTAATTTTGCAAAAAATAGCCGATCATGTGCTAGGAAAGAAAAAAATAAAGACGAAACAGGATTTTTGCTCACCCGTGATTGGACGGTGGAAGTCAGCACAGCTGACAGCATTTTTTTTTATTGTGGTGGGCTGGCATCCCAATTCATGATAAGTGGTCTGCCTTAACCACCTCAATGCCCTTGTAATATATATATATATATATAAAAAAAAAAAATTGGAAAGATGGAGCGCGATTATGAAACATTTGCATGCACTTGGTGGCACACAATCCCTGTGATAACACCGTCATTAGAAGATCATAGACAAAATACAGAGAGCCTGTCAAAGTGGCCCCGTGCCTTGTGATAACTGTGGCGGCCAATCACAGGGATCACAAATGTAAACACTGCCCGTGTATACAATTGAGAGCATTCCCTTTCCTCTGACAATGAAGGACTTTATCAATGAAGGATTTATTAATGAACAGTGGGCAGCCCCGGACTCTGCATACACTATATCCGGTCTCCCCGGACTCTGCATTCACTATGTCTGGTCTCCCCGGACTCTGCATTCACTATATATCTGGTCTGGTCTCCCTGGACCCTGCATTCACTATATCTGGTCTCCCCGGACCCTGCATTTACTATATCTGGTCTCCCCAGACCCCGCATTCACTATATCCGGTCTCCCCGGACCCTGCATTCACTATATCCGGTCTCCCAGAACCCTGCATTCACTATATCCGCTCTCCCCGGACCCTGCATTCACTATATCCGGTCTCCCCGGACCCTGCATTCACTATATCTGGTCTCCCCGGACCCTGCATTCACTATATCTGGTCTCCCCGGACCCCGCATTCACTATATCCGGTCTCCCCGGACCCTGCATTCACTATATCCGGTCTCCCCGGACCCTGCATTCCCTATATCTGGTCTCCCCGGACCCTGCATTCACTATATCTGGTCTCCCCGGACCCTGCATTCACTATATCTGGTCTCCCCGGACCCTGCATTCACTATATCCGGTCTCCCCGGACCCCACATTCACTATATCTGGTCTCCCCAGACTCTGCATTCACTATATCCGCTCTCCCCGACCCTGCATTCACTATATCTGCTCTCCCTGGACCCTGCATTCACTATATCCGGTCTCCCCGGACCCTGCATTCACTATATCCACTCTCCCCGGATCCTACATTCACTATATCTGGTCTCCCCGGACTCTGCATTCACTATATCTGGTCTCCCCGGTCCATCGGGACTGCTTTACATAGTTACATAGTTAGTCTGGCTAAAAAAAGACAAAAGTCCATCCAGTTCAACCATAGAAAAAAAACAAAAAAAGTTATTTATTTATTTCAGGTATCTATATAGTTAAAAAAAAGTATTACGTTGTTGTCATTCTCTATATAGACACAATAAATATAAAGAATGCTTTTTTATTTATTTCAGCTACTTATATAGTGCCATCAATGTACACAGCACTTTACATATATATTGTACATTCACATCAGTCCCTAACCCTCAAGGGGTGTACAATCTAAGGTCCCTAACTCACATTCATACATACACATACTAGGGACAATATAGACAGGAGCCAATTCACCTACCAGCATGTCTTTGGATTGTGGGAGGAAACCAGAGTATCCAGAGAAAACCCACACAGGCACAGGGAGAACATGCAAACTTCAGGCAGGTGGTGCCGTGGCTGGGATTTTAACCTATGACCCTAGTACTGCCAGGCAGAAGTGCTAACCATTTAGCCACTGTGCTGCCCAATCCTATACCCACAGTTGATCCAGAGGAAAGCAAAAAACCCAGCAAAGCACGACCCAATTTGCTCCTGCAGGGGAAAAAATTCCTTCCTGATCCCCCGAGAGGCAATCGGATATTCCCTGGATCAACGTTACCTATAAATGTTATATCCAGTTATATTCTGTGTATCCAAGAAAGAATCCAGGACTTTCCTACAGCAATCCACTGAGCTGGCCACAACCAACTCTTGAGGGAGTCTATTCCACATTCTCACAGCTCTTACTGTGAAGAAACCTTTCCGTGTTTGGAGATTAAATTTCTTTTCCTCCAGACGTAAATAGCACCCCCTTGCCCTCTGTGATGACCTCAGGGGGAATACCTCTACACCGAGTATATGAACCACTGATGTATTTATACATGGAGATCATATCCCCCATTATGTATTATACATGGAGATCATATCCCCCTTATGTATTATACATGGTGATCATATCCCCCCCTTATGTATTATACATGGAGATCATATCCCCCTTATGTATTATACATGGAGATCATATCCCCCCTTATGTATTATATACATGGAGATCATATCCCCCCTTATGTATTATACATGGAGATCATATCCCCCCTTATGTCATAGATCATCCCCCCTTATGTATTATACATGGAGATCATATCCCCCCCTTATGTATTATACATGGTGATCATATCCCCCCTTTATGTATTATACATGGAGATCATATCCCCCCTTATGTATTATACATGGAGATCATATCCCCCTTATGTATTATACATGGAGATCATATCCCCCTTATGTATTATACATGGAGCTCATATCCCCCCTTATGTATTATACATGGTGATCATATCCCCCCTTATGTATTATACATGGAGATCATATCCCCCCTTATGTATTATACATGGAGATCATATCCCCCCCCCTTATGTATTATACATGGAGATCATATCCCCCCTTATGTATTATACATGGTGATCATATCCCCCCTTATGTATTATACATGGAGATCATATCCCCCCTTATGTATTATACATGGAGATCATATCCCCCTTATATATTATACATGGAGATCATATCCCCCCTTATGTATTATACATGGAGATCATATCCCCCCTTATGTATTATACATGGAGATCATATCCCCCCTTATGTATTATACATGGAGATCATATCCCCCCTTATATATTATACATGGAGATCATATCCCCCCTTATGTATTATACATGGAGATCATATCCCCCCTTAATCTCCTCTTCTCAGTAGAGAATACATTCAGCTCCTCTAATCTTTCCTCATAGCTGACCTCCTCCATGCCTCTTATCAGTTTGGTTGTCCTTCTCTGTACTTTCTCCAGTTCCCCAATGTTCTTTTTGTAAGTTGGTGCCCAAAACTGAACTGCATATTCCAGATGTCTTACAAATGATTTGTACCCGGGGGAAATGATATCTCTCTCTCTGGAGTATATACCTCTCCTAATACAAGAGAAGATTTTGCTCGCTTTAGAACCCTCAGCTTGGCATTGCATGCCATTATGAAGCTTGTGATCTACCAGAACCCCCAGATCCTTCTCCACCATTGACACCCCCCCCCCCCCCCCAGATCCTTCTCCACCATTGACCCCCCAGTTGTACCCCCCTAGTATGTATGATGCATGCATATTCTTAGCCCCCAAGTGCAGAACCTTACATTTATCAACATTAACAACATTGCCTTCTCTTTTTTGTTAACTTTTTTGTCTGAGTATATGATTCTATGTTTCTCTGAATGGAGGAGGGGGACAGACAGGACACTCTTGATGAGTGCTTATGACAGATCCAGCGGCTGTATTAATTAACAGCCTCACAACAAGGGGCATTTTTACATTTGAGTTTTTTTAAAGCCGTATTGTGGTCTTATAAATGGGTTAAAAAATATGACTGAGAGCGGCCAGATTTATTTTCCAGAAAAATTCAGAAAATTGGACAACTGCCCCATATGGAAGAAAAATACATTTGAAATATATTTTGAAAAATATTCTTCCCAAATATATTGCCATATATTTGAAATGCTACGATTTTGGCCACATTCAATATATTTCAAATATATTTTAAATAAATAAATAAATAAATAAATAAATATATATATATATTTATAATATATATATATATACAGTATATACATTTCCAATATACTGTATGTCTTTAAAAATATAAATCTACATTTTTGGAATGCATTTACAAATATATGTAAAAGTATATGTTAAAATTACCTTTTTATATGTTAAAAAAAGTCTGAAGAATTTATTTAAAAATTATATATTTTTAAAAATATATTTTTTTTTTAAAAATATATTCTTTAACACCCCCACAGAAACAGACTCCCCCAACAATATTGGACTCCCCAAACAAAATACCACCCCCAGTAACAATAGATCCACCCCAGCAGCAACAAAAGATCTCCCAGCAGCCTGCATCAATAGACCTCTCCCTCAACAGCAGATCCCTCCCATCAACAACTGACCCACCAGCAACATAAAATCCCCCCAGTAACATTAGATTCCCCACGAGCGACTATAGACTTCCTCAGTAACAATAAACCTCCATTAAAAAATAGATCCCCTCCAGCAACAACAGATCTCCTAGCATCCAGCAACAATAAACCTCTACCTCAACAGCAGATCCCTCCCATCAACAACTGACTCACCAGAAACATAAGACCCCCCCAGTAACATTAGATTCCCCACCAGCAACTATAGACTTCCTCAGTAACAATAAATCTCCATGCAAAAATAGATCCCCTCCAGCAACAATGGACCCTCCAGCAGCCAGCATCAATAGACCTCTCCCTCAACAGCAGATCGCTCCCATCAACAACTGACCCACTAGCAACATAAGACCTCCCAGCAACAATAGATTCCACACCAGTGACTATAGAATTCCTCAGTAACAATAAACCTCCATGCAAAAATAGATTCCCTCTAGCAACAATAGACCCCCAGCAGCCATCATCAATAGACCTCTCCCTCAACAGCAGATCCCTCCCATCAACTGACCCCCAACAACAATAGATTTCCCATTAGCGACTACAGATTTCCTCAGTAAAAATAAACCTCCATGCAAAAGTAGATCCCCTCCAGCAACAATAGACCCCCCAGCATCCAGCATCAATAGACCTCTCCCTCAACAGCAGATCCCTCCCATCAACAACTGACCCACCAACAACATAAGACCCCCCAGCAACAATAGATTCCCCACCAGCGCCTATGGACTTCCTCAATAACCATAAACCTCCAGGCAAATATAGAACCCCTCCAGCAACAACAGATCTACCAGCAGCCAGCATCAATAGACTTCTCCATCAACAGCAAATCCCTCCCATCAACAACTGACCCACTAGCAACATAAGACCCCCCCCCAGCAACTATAGATTCCCCATTAGCGACTATAGACTTTCTCAGTGACAATAAACCTCCATGCAAAAATAGATCCCCTCCAGCAACATCAGATCTCCAAGCAGCCAGCATCAATAGACCTCTACCTCAACAGCAGATCCCTCCCATTAACAACTGACCCACCAACAACATAAGACCCCCCAGCAACAATAGATTTCCCACCAGTGACTTCCTCAGTAACAATAAACCTCCATGCAAATATAGATCCCCTCCAGCAAGAATAGACCCCCCAGCAGCCAGCATCAATAGACCTCTCCCTCAACAGCAGATCCCTCCCATCAGCAACTGACCCACCAGCAACATAAGAACCCCCCCCCCCCCCAGCAACAATAGATTTCCCACCAGTGACTTCCTCAGTAACAATAAACCTCCATGCAAATATAGATCCCCTCCAGCAAGAATAGACCCCCCAGCAGCCAGCATCAATAGACCTCTCCCTCAACAGCAGATCCCTCCCATCAACAACTGACCCACCAACCCCTTGCCCTCCGCAGGATTTACCCCCCCCCCCCCCTTTCTGATCAGGCCATTTTTTGCGATACGGCGCTGCGTTACTTTAACTCAGTGTTTCTCAACTCCAGTCCTCATGGACCCCCAACAGGTCATGTTTTCAGGATTTCCATTATTTTGCACAGGTGATTTGATCAGTTTCACTGCCTTAGTAATTACCACAGCTGTTTCATCTGAGGGAAATCCTGAAAACATGAC